ATAGTTTGCAAGCATGCCTATCCTATATGATTAGTACATTTACTTTTGACGGTCTAAAACAATTTTAAAAATGCGTTGTATTGTTGTATTTCGGAACAAGGGCATGACTGAAAAGTCAAGGATTTGACTTAGTTCCCAAGACAAGGGGGGAATGAAGAACTGAGAATTATACTCACCATTTTGCAGTCACTAACTGCTGGCTTCGCTTCTGTAACTTGCTTTTGCTAACGTTAAAGTATAAAGATAGGTCTGTGTCAACAAACTCTAAAGAATGTAACTGCTGTGATAGATAACTAACTGCTGACCTCAAGCCTCAGACATTCCCAGAGTCTGGAACAATGGCTAACACATATTCCGGATCCTCCTCTGGGAACTGGACCCTGAGATAATGACCACCTAAGAGAATTCCCCCTAACCCTTATCATCCAAAGCAACCATCCCCCTTGAGTCACCCAGAGCCAATCATTTTACAAAGAGTGTTACAAAATTTCCCGTGTGGCATAGTGATTTGCTGTGAGGGGCCCTGCCCCTACCTTAAAATGTATAAAAGGCGCTGCAACCCTTTGTTCAGGGCCTCCTGCTAACACCCCTATAACGGTGTGCATGAGGTCCGTGCTCGTGAGTTCGTTAATAAGTGACTCTTTGCCGCTTGTATTGTCCAAGGTCTCTGTGGTCTACTGGGGGCTCCAAGACTCTGGGTACTACAGTTCTAGTCACCTATTCAGGCTGTGGGACTGAGATGAAGCCTTAAGAAGTGGCGAGCACATAATAGAAAAATGAGCTATTAGGGAGACATTGTCAAGTGATTAGCCCTCAGGCCGGGCACATGTCTTAGTTCATTTTGTTTGGATGAAACAAAAGACCTATAGAAGAGAGAGATCATTTAATTTTCTTTTTATCTATAAAAATATTTTTTATCTTTAAGTGGTTGTACAAATAGGTTTCAATTCAACATATCAATTAATGAGTCCATGGGCCTCTACCTAGAAATGCCCCTCTTGCTCTGTCATTCATGGCACAAGGTGGAAGGAACAGAGAACACACATGTGAGATCAAGAAGGGGCCAAACTTATTTTATACAGAACCCTCTCTGAGTGTAATATAAACACTTCTTCAATGATGATATCATTGTCTGTTCATGGGGGCTAATCTTCATTTTCCCTTTACTTCTTTAATTTTCCCACCTATCCACTACTAATGTTCTGATCCATGAAGTTGAGGGACACATTCAAACCACAGCCCAGAGGGAGGAGTCAGGATGGTGTCAGTTTTGGTATGGATATATGGGTGGATAGGATGGGGGGGGCAGTCTCGGAGACAGGATCAACAAAAAGAGATATGGGCTGAGTCCAAATCCAGGAGTTGAACCTCCAGTGGGATGTGGGGAACACAGGCAGCAAAGATGGCCCTGAGAGGAAGTTGAGTGGGCAGAGCCTGATTTGTTTAATTCAGTGCATAAACAGCTTGTAGAAGCTTAGGTGCATGATAAGTTGTGACCTTTACAGTGATTAGTTGGTTCCATTTCCTCCCCTCTCACGCAGTCTTTTGCTTTAAAAAGGGCTTGCTCTGTGTTAATAAATGAGTTCCTGCTTGATTTGACTCCCTGCTGGGTCTGATAGTCTCCTGGGCTAAGGGAGGCTGGGGGATGGGGGAGAGGTCGCACTTAACCTTTCCTCAGACCCCGTCCGTCTTTCATGGGACGGACAAAGACCCAACAGTGGGTCTAGATTTTCCAAGACTGAGTTAGAATGAACATCTCTGTGCTCAGGAAGTCCAATGAGATGAGCCCTTATGAGAGCCCAGATGGAGAAGAGCAGAAGAGATGGAGAAGAGCAAGCTGCCGAGACCACAATAGGGTATTTGACTGGACTGGGGAGGGGTACTGTGAGAAGGTACCATGCCAATAGCACAGTGCCAGCTGCTGCAGCATCCACTCAAGAAAAGCCAAACATTTGTATTTTTTTTTCACCAGTCCTGGAACTTGAACTCAGCCTGGAGCTTCTTTTGCTCAAGGCTAGTGCTCTATCACTTGAGCCACAATGCCACTTCCAGCTTTTACTGCATAGTTTATTGGAGATAAGTGTCTCACAGACTTTCCTGCGTGGGCTAGTTTTGAACCCTGATCTTCAGATCTCAGCCTCTTGAGTAGCTAGGATTACAGTCATGAGCCACTGGCACTTGGCTTCCCAACATCTTTAATAGTCCATGCTCACATGGGATTATTTAGAAGAGGACCTCAGCAGAGCACCAGTACCAGTGATTCACACCTATAATCCTAGCTACTGGGGAGGCTGATATTTGAGGATCACAGTTTAATCCAGCCTAGGAAGGATTGTCCAAGGGACTCTTAGCTCCAATGAACCACCCAAAAGCCAGAAATGAAGCTGTGGCTCAAGTGGTAGAGCACTAGTCTTGAGCAAAAACACACAGGGACCACACCCAGACCTTGAATTCAAGCCCCAGTATCAGAAAAAAAAAGAAGAAGAACTCAGAAAATTGATTCAGTGGCATATCCTCCTTTTATTTCCTCTTATATTCTGGCTTACGTATTTCAGTGATTTGTCTCCCTTCCATGCAAGCATAGTTTCTTCCAGACTGGGGAACTTTCAAACAGAAGGGGGGACATTTTAATAGACAACCACTTAAAAGATGCTCTGCTGGATACTGTGAGTGAACTAAAAGTTTTGCTTTGTCTCGGTTGTCCTGTGATCTGAGCTGTTCTCTGCTGCCGTTTCTTTGAGCTCATTTGTTCACCAGAGAAAAGAGAAGATTTGATGATGACAACCATCTTACATGGGAAGCAAACTTGCCCCTCCAGCAAACCATGTCTTCTCTTTATTATCTTAGAGTTCAGGAGACCTAAATCACTCCTGTTCTCTCCATGACTTTTCCAGAATCCTTCCTGGGACCAAGAGTGAGCTAATGGTCAATCAAGACACACCTGTGGCTTAGGATTGTTTACACTATGTATACTACTCTTATCCTCTGCTCCCAATTCTCCCTATTTAATATGAAGCTAATTTCAATACCTCTAAAGATTGCTGAAGATGTACTGAAGTGCTGTCTTTCCATCATGACCATGGAATAAATCTCCTTTCTCTGCCCTAAAAAAAAATACAAACAAAACAAAACAGAAAGCAATCATTCAACACAGTGTTCAGGAGAAAGGCTAACAAAACCCAGCCTGCTCCAGCCACACCTGTGTCCCTCTCACCTGCAGCCATGAGAAGTTCAGGTCCTCAACACCCACCTACTGTTCCTAGAACAGTGCCTCCAGACCCTCTCACTTATTGTCATGGTGTTTCTTTTGATATACATCAATTATTTCTCTGGCAAAAAGTGAACCTCTTTGCATAGGTCTGCCAACACAAGAGTTTGGTACCCCAGCAAGCATTTACTGCCCAGAGTAGTGTAGGGTGAAGACAAAAGAAAAGATACACTATCCTGAAAGGTCAGATCTGTCTTCAACAGCTTTTGTTTCTTAGAAAACTTACAATGAAAAAGAAAACCTACAATTTCCCATTTAATGTTTTTTAATCAAGTGAAGGCTTAGATAAATGAATCGATCACCTAGGAAGTCAGGGTCTAAGCACATGGAGGCAGCTCATCAGGTATGGGGTCTCCTAGCCCAGAGGAAACCAAGTCATCAGCAGAAAATTCCCAGAGTAATTTCATAGCAGCAGATGGAGTGATGAGACATCCTTCTCAATTCTGCAGCCCTGGAGTGCTGCTCATGTGACAGAGGAAGAACTTCTGTGCTAGTCATCCTCCTGCCTGGGTTTGTGGTGATGAAGCAGGAACTAACCTTTGGCCCAGCTCTAAAGTTTCCACTAGTAACTGCCCTGTAAACACAGGGCCCTGTGATCCTGAGCCCAGTCCTGGGCTGGAGTCTGCGCCCCAGCTCTGCAGGCAAGTTCTGGGTGGTGGCAGGATGCTTGTGTGCCTTGTGTGCTATATATGCACCTGCTGCTGTGGAGGTTTGTCCTGGCCCAGCCCCTTCCGTGGCCACACCCTAGAAGTAGTGGGGTTTTTTTCTGAGTGAAGTGTACTTCCTGCTTGGCTTACAGGCAAGTATTTCCTCATCTCTTTGTGGCCTAGGACCTACAGAGTTCTGAAGACACTTGGAAAAGGGCAGCCCAGTGCACAGTCCTGAGCTCTGAGCTTAGCCTTAGCATTGAATCTACACACACACACACACAGCACAGCGCGCGCGCACGCACACACACACACACACACACACACACACACACACAGAGCACACAGCACACACAGCCTCCTAGAAGCACTGCAGCTCAAGAGGGGACTTCAGGAATCCTGAAGCATGGAACAGCAAGGACCCTAATGCTAATCAGTGAGTACCACCCACAACTATATTGCTGTCCCTAACTCCTGCAGCCTCTGTTCCATTATCCTCCCATCCTCCTCCTGTTTCCTGCTCCACTTCACATTTCCTGACTAGTCTTGGGCCCTGTCCAGGAGCCCCACATAATCTGACCACCTTGAGTGTTTTCCAGTCTCCCAGGGCTCCCCTTTACTATGGCTTTTCCTATCTCTCTGCTTCCCTCCACCCACACCATCTTTTAGCTGATGCCTTGGGGGTTACAGACTGGGTTCTGAATGCTGATAAGGAGTGGTTTACCCAGCAAACAGAAATTATCCACACTAAGAGTCTCGCATTGGGAAGTAGTAGGACCCAAGGCACAAGGAGATCACGTCCTCTGCCTGCCTCATGCCCTTCACTTCCCACCCTCTGTGTTTGTCTCTAAGGAGATCTTGTACAGGGAACAAGCCAAGCTTTGGGGGCCACCACCAGGAGCTACTACAGAAGCAGGCTCTAAAAGAGTTCCAGCTATGTCTGCTCAACAAAGCACTCCTGAAGAGCACCTCCAGGGGCAAAGTGGCTCAGTCACAGAAAGCAAGTGGAATGAAGACGACCTCAGAACTGATGGCTTAATTCAGAGGCAAGGATCTAACCCCAGGTATGTGGCACCTATGGGCCGATGGAAGTTGTGGCCCAAGGCCTAACAGCTGTGGATATCAAGTGAGTAAGCAAGACCCTAACCCACTCCTATTGATACCTAAATGCCAACCTCTCCTCAGGTGGTGACTTGCACGACCCTAGTCCAAGGATTCCAGCTCACCCTAGGCCAGAGCTGGGAGGCTGACTGGGAAGACCTTACTGGACAGTAGAGTCCCACATTCTCTTCTACTCCAGTGCATTCCCAGACCCCATGTGATTCCCATAACACCCAGGATAAAGTCTTCCAGGGCTGAACAGGGAAGAGACTGCCATTCAGAATGGCACTACAGGGATAGATATGAGTTCAAAACTAGCTTCCAAGAGGAGTGCTTGCTCAGCAATGAAGTTATGAACACAGATTTGGGAGCTGAAGGGAAATCATTTCACTGTCTGCCTTTGTTTCTTCATCTGTAAAATGAAGAGATGAACCCCTTGGATTTGTAAGAATTAAAAGTGATCGTCTATAGTAAACATTTACCAGAGTCCAATGTTCAACAACTAGGAGTGCTTGCTATTGCTTTTGCTATTGCCACTGCTGCTGCTCTGATCACGATTCATATAACTGCAGGGTGGAAGCTCATAGCCCCCCATGTGAGTGCCAAGACTGAGAGAGGAATGGTAATTACACAGGGGAGCAGTGAAAACCAGAACAGGGCCATGGATTTCCTGTATCTCAGATCAGAACGTTTCCTAGCAGCACATATGAGAGCTTCACTTTCTGCATGAGCTTTTGGGGAATTGCGTGCAAGCTGCAGCGCATTTGTAGGATCTTAGTGCCCACTGCTAAGACAGGGCTCCTAAGTAATGTAAAGAAAACCAGCCTCAGTGCCCTGGCTCCTGCCCCTGCCTTTAATAAGCCTCCAACCTCACTGTGTCCTTCCCCATAGGCCAGTCTCTGTCAAGGGTCCCCCCAAATCACATCAAACATGGAGTTCCTCAACTGCCCTAGCAAATCTCCTAACTCATTTCATTCCTGTCATTTTTCTCTCTAGAAAACTTCTCTCTCAATCACACTCAGGAACACCAACAACATCAATCACTAGACAAGCAGCCCACCATTCAACATCCCCAGAGACACGGGTCATCCATTCAGAAAAAGTTTATGGATGTGACACAAAGTCAAGAAATCTAAGAATATTAGAGATACAACGGCCTCTTGCTAAAGCAGGTGAAAACTACCACATAGGTGAGGCCAACATGACTGACTCTGTGTGTCTGTGTGTCTATGTATCTGTGTGTGTGTGTTTCTTTGTGTCTGTGTGTGTGTGTCTGTGTGTGTGTGTGTGTGTGTGTTTGTGTGTTGAGGTCCTTATGGTCCTAGGGCTTAAACTGAGGGGTTGGGCACTGTCCTTGAGCTTTTTCTGCTCAAGGATACTGTGAGGAAACTGAGTCATGAGTATGCAGAAAGATCAAATGGAGACAAGACAGGCTTTAATCATGGCTGCAGAGGGACGCCATGTAACACGAAGCAGGATCAGAGGAACAAAGAGGGGAGAAATCTGAAGCTTAGGTACAATTTGTCAAGGACACATGTGGAATTGAGTTAGGGTCAAGGGTAGCAGACAGTAAAGTAGACATTATGACAAACATTTAGGCCAAAAACCTACATTGCCATCTATTGTGGCTGAAAAGAATGATTTAAATTTAGGTGTGTTTGTGATTTGAATTTTATGTTGTGTTAGGTGAGAATGATCCCAAGAACTACTCAGGATGGGAGTTCCTGATAAGCGGTCCCAGGGAGGGCAAGGGAGCTCAGTGGGCCATGGGAGCACATTGGGTTATAAAAACAATCAAGACAGATTCCCATCACTTGAGACCCTGAAGGGATATAAAAAGTTGAAGGGCATTGTGGTCTTTTCTGGCTAGTTCCTGCTGCCTTAGGGGCCCCAAGAGGTCACTGGGGCCGGGGTCTTCAGGGGCCAGTTCTGCATTGGTCAGGGAGGTATTAAGCGAAGCCTTCAGTGGCCTGCAGTAGTAGATGGCCTTGACTTGCTCCTGGGCGTAGGCTTGTATGATGGCTGTTATGAGATGGATGAAAAAATTCTGAAAATAATTTTTTAGTAATGTAATAAGGTTAAGATAAGAATGATCACTAGAGATAGAATTATCACTGGCAGAAGCCAGGACATCTGACTACAGACATTACTCCATTGATTAAAAAGAAAGAATAAAAAATGATTACAAGGAATGGCGTTATCAATGTTAGGAGCCTGGATGTCTGGCTCTGGATGCTACTCCACTGACTCCCAGAGTTCACATAGAAGAAAGATGAGGCTCACAAGGAGACTGACAAGTATTGTCACAGCCATGCCACCCGATACAGGGGAAGGTTTGTGAAGGTTCCCTTTAGAAGCCATTGACTTCAATAAAAACAAGCAACCTTGGTAGAACCTTTATTCAGAAGTGGGGGGAGGGTGGGTGTTGGGGACTAGAGGAAATAGCTAACAAGCAGAGTTTCCAAATCCAGTCAATAAAGACCTAGGTCTTTATTGATCTTCCCTCACCTACTTAGGCAGCTGAAGCCATGAGCTGGTGAAGGTGGAGGCTTCTAGTTGCACACAGCCAACAATTTGGCCACAGGGTGGGAAGGATTATTGGATGGGATGAACAGGGGTGCAAAATCCCCCATGTTGCTAGGCTCAAAGGGGTGCAAAATCCCCCCTGTTGGTCTGGCTCTCTGAAAGCCACTATTTGTGAAAAGAAAAAAAGAGAGAGGAAGAAAGAGGAGAGAGGAAAGAAGAGGAGAAGATAGAAGAGGAAAGAGAAAGACAGAGAGAGAGAGAGAGAGAGAGTCTCTTAAAACTGAGTTTGCCTATCAAGTCAATATGCCTAGGTGAAGGCCTAACATCCTTTCCTAGCAGCTCAGAAGCTAGAACTAGGGATTCCGGGTCCCTTTCTGACCATCATTCATTTATAGTAAGCAGGAGGAACCAATTGGCTCTCAGAAAGCCTCTTGGGAGGAAAGAAAAAAGGAGAGATGGTGGGAGAGAGATAGAGGGATGTAGTATCCTCTACAAGGACAAGAGTCCTCCGGGGGAACACTGTTCCTGATGAGGGAGCCATCTGTTGGAAGCTGAGTCATGAGCATTAGGAACAATCAAGTGGATGACAGGAGACAAAGAAGTCAGAGACCTCAGCAGACATGAGCAGGCTTTAATCGTTTTGGCAGAAGAATCCGTGCAACACTGAGCAGGGTCAGAGAAACAAACAGTGGGGAAGGAAGTGGATCTGAAGCTTAAGTATAATTTGTCAAGGACACATGTTGAATTGAGTTATGGTGGACAGTAGAAGGCAGTCATGTTCATTATGATGAACATTTAGGTCACAAGGTCACATTGCCCTCTGTGGTGGCTGAAAAGAATGGTTTAAGTTTAGATGATTCCGGGTGTGTGTGTATTCCCAACAACTGCTCAGATGGGAGTTCCCAGTAAGGGGTTCTAGGGAGGTGGGGAGAACTCAATTGGCCCTGGGAGCCAAACTGGGTTCATTAAAAAAAAAAAAAAAGCAAGACAGATTCCCATCAGCTACCATTCTACCACCAGACTCATAACTCCACTTCTGGCTTTTTGGTGGTTAATTGGAGATAAGACTCTCCTAGGCTTTCCTGCCCAGGTTGGGCTGAAACTGTATTCCTCAGCTCTCAGCCTCCTGAAATGCTAGGGTGACAGGCATGAGCCACCAGCACCAGCTTTCTTTCTTTCTTTACTTTGTTTTTGAGGGGGACAGCAAAGGCATGAACCAAGAGTCAATCCCCTGGGGACCTGAAACACAAAAAAGACTGAACACAAAAGACCTAGAAATCCTCTGAAACAATTCTACCAACCCTGCCTTGGAAGTTTCAAAAATGGGCTCTGACACTGCCTCCAAGAAGCCCCGGGTATTAAAATGCAGGTTCATTCTTCAGAACAGGAAACACAACACCTGGCTTAGTGGGCAGGGCACTGGCCTGGGATCAGGAAAGTAGCATTTGTTTCCCACAGGGGCCCTCAGCATCTCTCTACCCAAGTGCCTAGAACAAGTCATGTCCTTTCAAACGACCTCACTCCAGGTCAGACCTTGGTCCCAGTGCTTCACTTGCATGCTCTACAATTTCACAACCACTCTGTGACAGAGACAACTATTGTCCCACTGTAGAGATGAGCAAAGCTCTAAAGTTAAAGTCACACAGTTAGTGCAGAGCTGGAATTAAACTATCACTGTCTCCTTCACCATAGTCCACATCTCTATCTTATTAAGAACTGAAGCCCTATGCCCTATGACATCTGGGTAATGGGGACAGGCACACCAAAGCCACGGGCACACAGGGCCCAGTGGCATGATCTTAACCATGAATTACACTGCCTCTAGCATTAGGAGATGCTACCTTGGAAATCTTAAAGATGTTCAATTAATAGGATTTGTTCTACATGAATTTAGGAATAAACTCATAGACTTCATGGTTCTAAAATGTGGTCCATGCTCCATGTATATTGACTAACTTCATAAGTCATACCACTTCTCATCCAAAATGGGGAAAAAGGAAGAAAGTGTCACTGGGTGGAGATGAGTTGAGTAGTTTCCTTTAAATGCAAGAATTCATAGGGCTGGGAAGTTGGCTCAGTGCTCGCCTCACATGCATGAGGCCATGGGTTCGATTCCCAACACCACATAAACAGAAAAAGCTGGAAGTGGTGCTGTGGCTCAAGTTGTAGAGCACTAGCCTTGAGCTGAAGAGCTGAGAGACAGCACCCAGGCCCAGAATTCAAGCCCCACTACCGACAAAAAAAATTCAGGAACTCTTCATTTAGGGTCCTTGACTTTGATTGCAAAATTTTTCTGGACAAGTGAATATGGTAAGAAAACTTGGCAGACTTTGTTAAGTAAACAAACAGGCAAGCAGGCAAACACACAGAAGGGCTGGAGCACACTCTAACAGAGTGCATGCTCTTACAGTGAGAGACACACTGCTCCTTGGCCTGTTAGGGCATTTATAGGATAAAGGCAGGGGGTCTGGATTTCAAGTTATGCAAAGCTGGGTTCTTTGTCTTTACTCTAACCACATCTGGCATTATTTTCTGAGTTTCCAAGTAGGAATGCATCCTGCCAAAAAACAAATCCTATCTTTGAGATAAGGCAGCACCTTGCTATTTGCCTTTTAAGCCAGGTGGCTTAAGTTTGGGAAGGCATTCTTCTCAGAAAGGCATACATAAATGCATCCATCAGGAATGAATGCAACCTGTTGTCTCTTGAAGCAATGATACCATTTCTATGTTTCTAAATGCTATATTTCCAAGTTGCTTTCACCAGGCCTCATTTTCCTTAAGTTTTCCTGTTTCACCAAATGACTTTGTTCCCATAATCTTAATGAAAATGAAGGAATATCTCCTGTATTTGCTGTAATCTGACTATACCTCCTTTTTTCTTAGTCCATCTGGCTTCAGAAGGAACGAAGGAAGGAAGAAAGAAAGGAAAAAGCAAGGAAGGAAGAAAGGACTAGAATCATCTTACAGAAACATGCAAATGAACTAAACATTAAAATGATATATGCACAAAATTGAAACGAAAAAAGTGGGAGGACAAATTAGTAGGCATAAAAGATATTTATATTAGTGATGAGTGTCCAAGCAAGTAGCACAATGGACATATATAAAAGGGATTTAATGGTAGCTTTCATACATAAGAAAAGGCTGATTCTATAGAATTGCATTTTAAATAGTTTTATTAGTTGTACAAAGGTGTGGCCATTAAACAAAGCAGTTAATGAATACAATGGGTCTTGGTCACTGTCACCTCTCAACAAAAAATTGCTTTTTTTCACCTGACTTTAAATTCTAAGGGAATTCTTCGGTGGAGCACTTGAATAAAATAGCATCTCAGAACAAGTACAAAACATATATGGCATTTTTTGAAATATTAGAAGCACAGGTAGAGATATGTGTGTAAAGACAGAACAATAGGATGTGGGTTTTTGGTAGACTCCAGTAATCCTATCTACTCAGGATCTGAGATCTGAGAATCACAGTTTGAAGCCAGCCTGGACAGAAAAGTCTATGAGACTCTTAATTCCAATTCATCAACAAAAAGCCAGTAGGGGGAATATGCCTCAAGGGTCAAGCACCAGCCTCAAGTGAAAATGCTAAGGGAGAACTCCAGGCCCCGAAAACAAGGCCCTATATCTCACCACCCAAAGTATGTTTTATAGGTCTTCATTGCAACTATCTAAGCCTGCTCTCATAGGCTTCAAGTAGTCAGAGATGAGAAATCAAGAAACAGTGGGAATTCAGTCTTTATTCTAGCCACTGAAGCAGTGCCCGTGATACGTATTTAATAAAGGAAAGAAAGTCATGCATCTGGCTTGCTCACATCAGGACTTGAACTAGAATCCTCTCTGTCTACGTTCATGTTCCCTCACTGTGCTACCAAGAATGCTCCACGGTCTGCAGCTGATGTGACATGTAGCTTAGAGTCTGCACAAAGTTCATGATTGTTTAATAAACAAATAAGTCATAAATCATTCTAACCCATTCATTTATGTTCCCTCTACGCTCCCTTACTTAGAAGCCAGAAAAATAAGATCAAAGAACCAGAAGACAAAGAAACCTTTCCCTTGGAAAAATGAGTATTTTACTCAACTGCTACTTCTAAAAAAACCTTACCCCAAAGGACAGGAGCCCTTCTTCAGGAAAAGCTGGCATCAGGATGAAGTGGAGGAGAGAGGACATTTGATTGACATCAGAGATTTATTTGGCCCACGTCTAGACACTCAGGGACAATCTCCAACAGTCATACTGTATGGGTCTGCCGGAACTGGGAAATCGACTCTGGCCAGGCAGGTGAGAGCAGCCTGGGAAGAAGGGTGGCTGTACAGGGACCGATTCCAGCACATCTTTTTCATCAGTTGCAGGGAGCTAGACCAGCATGGCATTTCGAGTCTGGCTGAGCTTCTTGAAAATGACCCAGCTGTCCCAGAAGTTCCCATTCATGAGATCCTGTCTAGGCCAGAGCAGCTGCTCTTCATCTTAGATGGTGTGGATGAGTTACTATGGACTGTAGAGAGGAAGAAGTCTTGCCTTGGTCTGCACTGGAGCAAGAGTCAGCCAATTTACATGCTAATGAGTAATTTGCCAATTTACATGCTACTGAGTAATTTGCTGAGGAGAATCATGCTTCCTGAGGCTTCCTTGCTCATCACAGCTCGGACTACAGCTCTCTCTAAGCTCGTCCCTATCTTGAAGCAGCCATGTCAGGTGGAAGTCTTGGGCTTCGCTGAGTTCAGCAGGAAGGAATATTTCTACAAATATTTCCCAGACGAGAGCCAAGCACTCAAAGCCTTTAGCTTGGTTGAATCAAACCCCGAACTCTTGACTCTGTGTCTGGTGCCCTGGGTGTCGTGGCTGGTCTGCACATGCCTCAAGCTACAGATGGAGCGGGGGGAGGAAATTGTACTCACCTCCCAGACCACCACAGCCCTCTGTCTGCACTACCTTGTCCATAATTTCCCAGCTCAGCTCCTGGGGACCCATCTCAGGGGAATCTGCTCTCTGGCTGCTGAAGGCATCTGTTGGAGAAAGACTGTATTCACTATAGATGACTTGAGGAAGTATGGTTTAAAACAGGATGTCATTCTCAATTTCATAGGGATTGGTATCCTTCAAGACCATCAATCTATGAGCTACAGCTTCTCTCACCTCTGTTTCCAGGAGTTCCTCGCAGCAGTGTCTTTTGCCTTATGGGATGAATATCCTATCTTCCTGATAGCAGAAGAATACTTGCAAATAGAGAATAGAAGGCATAGCCTGTTTGAAGAACCAAGCATTCACTTCCTCTTTGGTCTTTTAAGTGAACAAGTAACAAAAGAGATGAAATGCATTACCCACCAACTGCCTCAGATGAAGAAACAGGAGCTGCTATATTTTGCACAGATGAAATCCAGGTACCAGCAGCCATTTTCACTGGAAGTGCTTCACTGTCTTTATGAGACTCAGGATGAAGAGTTTCTGACCCAAGTTATGCAAAGGTTCTTGAGAGCCAGAATGTACCTCCATACAGACATGGAGCTTCTGGTGGCCACTTTCTGTATTAAATTCTGCAGCCATGTGAAGAGGCTTCAGCTGATTGGACCGCAGATACAAGTACAGAGATTCCCTGGAGTAGTTCTGTGAGTATCCCACAAAACCCTTCCTCCAGCTCCTCTGTGTCTCAAGAGCCCCGTTGTCCTGTGTACCAGAAACACACTCAATCTGGCCCCAGGGCTCTGGATGTAGGTCATTGGTGACTTCTAACTGCCCAAACTGACGTCCATTGTCTGCCCACCCAAGAGCTTTGGTATGACTGTGTGACAGATCTGCCAAGTCCTGCTGTCCCTCTTCCTAGCTCTAAGAGGGCCACCACCTCCTCTGCTGGGCACTCTCCCAACTTCATGCTGATCTTCACATGGCCCTAACCTCTCCAAGACTCAGAAAAACCTGCCTCTGAGCCTCTCTTTTCATTGGCTTTCTCTGAGAAATTGTCACTCAGGCACTTCAGATACTCCCTTCCCCATTTCAGTGACCTTTGACTTGAGACCATTTCTCATCACCTCAGAATACAGGTGTCTGAGAAGAACTGTTGAGTTTTCCCTGCAATCCTGGTTCCTTGTTGATGTCTGTTGTAGGCAGTCAACCTGAATCCAAATGGGAGCTTGGAAGTGTAGTGCTCTCTAACTACCCTCAACCTAACTGCACTGAGAATGTCCCCTGCCTCTCACCATGCCAGCCCTGGGCAGTGGTGTGTTAGCTGATGATTTTAACTCTTAATAAATTCCCTCAGTAAACATTCAGATTTCCAGGCCTTAAATATTGCAAATTGAAGAGCAAAATCCCTAAAGTGCTCCGAAACTAGGAGAGAAGACACATCAGGCAGCAATGCCAATACAGAGATACAATATAATACAATAACAAAGGTACAGAGGAAGAAGTGGTCAACATGGGGAACAGAAAGGGAACGATCTCAAAGGAAGAAATGGTCAACTTATATGATTTTCAGACTTTTTAAAGAGGTTTATCATGATAAAAACCCATGTTTCTTGAGAAAGGATAAATATAAAGAAGGAAATGTCAATCACAGGTTTGGAGGTGCGGCTAAGTTGGTAGAGCACTAACCAGTGAGTGAAAGCATCAGATACTAAATTCAAGTCCCTGTCTCAGACCAAAAAAAGAAAGAAAAAGAAAATATAAATCACAATTTTATCATGCAGTAATGAAGTATACCTATGGAGTCATTTTTCTATGTCCTTCCTATAAGGAAATTGAACCATTCTATATAGTTTATCTTGTAATCAGCTTTAGTTAGTTAGTGATGTTAATATATCAAGGCTATACCTCCTTTTACTGAGAAGACTGATTTAACACTAGTCCAAAGGCCATGTGCTGTTCCCTTGGGAGAGCTTTATGGCTGATCCCACCAATGCCCTGTTCTCCTACCTGTAAGTTAGTTTCTAATTGTTCATGGTGATAACATGATTTGACTTTGAGGCTTGACATGGGTTTTCAGAAAAGCTCTGATCAGGAATAGGACAGAATCCAGAGAGTGCAGAAGGAGCCAGGGATACCAGGTGAGAGCCAGCCAGTTTGGAATGGACCATCACTTGTGGAGATTGGAGAGGATCTTGGGAAAGTTGGAGCTTCTGCTACTGAAGTAGAGAGAAGTGAGAGGCCCTGAGTCAGTCAGGAAGGGCAGGGGGTGGGAAGGAGGCTGCTGAACACAGACATGGGGAAGACTGGCCCCAGCTGTGGAGCAGCCTGTGAAAGGAAGGAGTGAGGACGGCGGAGGAGAGGCTTCCAGGTTCCTTGGTTCATAATTAAACCTCATGCATTTGGATAATCAAGTTTTAATTTTTCTTTCAAACAATGTATATGTGATACTACCATCAAAAAAGATATCGCTTGCAAATTTTATTCATTGGTATCTTTCACATTAACTTCATGTTGGTAAATTGGAATAATATAGTTTTTAACTTTTGCTACAGTCACGATTGGACAATTGTAATGTTTTTGAAGAATATGCACTGTTTATATTTCTGAAGTGTTAAAAGGTTCAACAGAATGTACACCTTTGTGGGACTCAGAAAGGCTTCATAATCCTCACAAACCCTCTTCACAGCAGGTACTATTATTACCTTGGTTTTACAGATGAATAAATGGTCACAGAACCAAGCCTAGCATGCAGCCTGCTGGCTTCAGAGTCTCATCTCCCTGTCCATAGAAGCTATTCAGAATTGAGGAAAAGTTGAATGGTTAGAGACCTATTGGAACCTACTGGGTCAAGAGTTACTGGGCTACTGAAGTGGAGATATCTGAAAAGAAACAAGAGTATCATTATGTAGCTTGAAGCAGAACTTAAGAGATAGAATGAACAGCCACATAGAGGAGGGGTCAGGGGTTGGGGACAAAGGGCAATTATGTAGGATGGTCAGTCCTGACAATGGCACTGTCCATGGAGGACTGGTGCTCAGGGAACAAACCTGCACCGTTGTACAAGGCTGCGCAGCTCAGACCCTGTCTGCTTATGATACACTTCTCCTGGTCCTCTCTCTGCCTCAGGTCCATGTGGGCCCCACTCACTGATACCTCGTGGAAGGTTCTCTTCTCCACTCTCAAGGTCAGTGGAAGCCTGAAGGAATTGGACTTAAGTGGCAATCCACTGAGTTGTTCTGCAGTGCAGAGTCTGTGTGAGACCCTAAGACACCCCCAGTGCCATCTGGAGACCTTGAGGTGAGTCAGAGCTGGGCTGGGCTCTCCCAAAAACGGAGATGGGCAAGAGATCAAAGGCAAAAGCCAAGTACAGAACTTGGCTTGGTTTCTGTAGCCATCAAATATTCATGGAACTACTCTCTGACCAAGACTTGGAGAGATGTAAGAGTTATTGTGGTAAACAAAGATTCTTAGAAGCCATGCACAAGTGGCTCACGCCTATGATCCTAGCTGTTCAGGAGGCTGAAATCTGAAGATCACGGATCAAAGCCTGTCAGGTCAGGAAAGTCCATGAGACTCTAATCTCCAATTAACCACCAGAAAACCAGATGTGGCACTGTGTTTCCAAGTGGTGAAGCACTAGCTTTGAGCAAAAAAGCTGAGGGACAGTGGACAGGCCATGGGTTCAAACCCTATGATCATCTAAAGAAAAATCTTTCCAGAGTTTGCTAAAGATAGAAATCAATGAGCTATGCTAACAGATGTTGCCTGGATGCTGACTTTCTGGGCGTACCGTTGATATCTCAACACTGGGAACAGTGAGGAAATATAAATTGTCTGTGGACAAGTGCTCTCAAATGCCAAGTGCTGGGACACACCTTCCATACAGCTCACCTTGACTTTCAGATGTGTAAGGAAGTCCAGATGAACCAAGGAGTAAACAGGTGGGGCTAATGGGCAGGCAGTTATTATTTGATGAAGGAGAGAAGGGGACGATAAAGCGGGAGACGTCTTTGGTATCCAACCTAAAGAAGCATAACCTGTCTCCCACGTCAGCTCCCTGCCTCCTTCCTGCACCTTCTACAGCTGCCTGTCAGGTCTCCATCTGCAACTCTCGATCCAATGATACATCCTCCTGTGGAAGGGCCCCGAAACTCACCATATTCTACACTTCCCACTGTGCCAGAATAAAACCTGTGTCTCTCAGTGCCTGCTGCATCATTGTCAGGACACAGTACTAAAAAAGTGTAGCACACTTCTTCAAAAAACTCAAAAAGTTATTGTTCCTACTGCACACAATTATTCACAGACACACACATGGGTGCACGCACTCTTTCAGTTTCCATGGGGGTCACTTTTGGCTTCTAAGATCAGATATTCATAAACCTGGTTCTACCTGCATTTCTCTCCTTTATCCCAATACCACATCTTCATCTTCACAGAGCCATTGCTGGCTTCCCATCAATCTTCCTGAAAAGAGGTGGGTGGGATGAGAAGAAGGGCATGAGAGCAAGCTGAGATCTCCTAATATCAGGGGTTCAGCAATCCCAGGAAGAGTGGGAATTCTATCACATTTATAATACTGAAACTTTAATACATTTACAGACTATGAAACTGAGTCAAGAAGGATACATACCAGGTATCAGCATCAATAGAACTTGAAGCTAAATCTAACTTCTAAGCCTGGTTCTACTTGTCCAGGATCTTAGCCTAGATCCTGTAAGTTCATTCCTTCTTGTGACTCTTGGCCCATGAACAGAGAAGGTTCAGACTTCCCTGGACATCGTGGGTATGGAGCCCTCTAGATCCATGATGCTCCAGCTATGCAGACCTCTGGGTCCAGAAGCAGGCTAGGGCCCCCACCTTGATTCCACTGGTTCTGCAGCTGTACTGTGGGAGACCCGATTTATTCACCCAGCTGAGGAAAGAAGGCCTGAGAGCCTGGCACTGCCAGCCCAGCACACCCGGTTCAGTCATGCCTCTGGCCTGCCACAGCACTGACTCCAAACCTCCACATGTACTGGGGAGCCAGGATTGACCCTCAGTTTCACTAAACCTTTTGTATTCCTCTCAATATGAGTTATTATATTAGAAACTCACTGATTTTATTTTCCTGGATAAGAGATTCCCTTAACTTCCACATACCTCTATAGAGCCATTGTTCACTGCCCATAGGTACTTGGCAGGGCCAGCATAGTTAACAATTAAACGCAGGTTTACAGCTAGAACACTGGGTAAATTATTAACACAAGGTGGAGAAGATGGGGGACAAAATTCCTGTGAATCTTATCAGAAGTAAGGGTGGTTGCTGTATCCTAAGGACTTGGCTAAATGAGGAAATGAGGACTTCCCAGGTCTCTTCAGCCAGGAAAGCCTCTCTTCCTTTAATGACACCTCAGGATCCACAGAGAACATGAATTACACTCCACTTCCATAGATGAGAGAGCCCTCAGGACAGTGAGCTTGTGTGTCTCTGCTGCAGGCTGGCCAGATGTGGCCTCACCTCCAGCTGCTGCCAGGACCTGGCCTCTGTGCTTAGCAACAGCTGCACGCTGAGGGAACTCGACCTGCGTCAGAATGACCTGGGTGACCTTGGTGTGAAGCTGCTCTGTGAGGGTTTCAAGCATCCTGCCTGCCAACTCACGTTCCTACGGTAAGGCCATGGGGATCCCTTCTAGTCTGGGTGCAGAAGAAGGGCAGATGGAAGGTTCTTGGCAGCCTTACAGGTGAAGAAAAGGGACAGTAAATGCTCAGTCAGGCCAGTCCTTGATGGCTAGGCCATTTACACTCACATGTGATTTGAGCAAATCACTGTCTTCTCTGAGATTCCGTTTCCACCTGTATGTTATGGGAGTATCACTTCCACCTCATGGATTACAATGAGATAAAATGTATTTGAGTTCAGAGTGTGCAGAGTCAGATATGATAGAGAGATCATGTCATTGAGGCAGTATGATTTTAGAGACTCCCAGTTCTCCTCACTCAAGCATGTCTGCACTCATTCATTTGCCTCTGCCTTCATTCACGACATTGCTCTTGTGTGCCAAGCAGCAGGTCAGGCCCTAGAGACCCACTGGAAGGCCCTACCCTCCTATGGCTGACACACTGGGGAAGGAGAAGTGTGGACCACCCATCAGCACAAGAATACATATTCATGACCTGTTTTGAGCACTGTGAAGCAAAATACAGATACTGTAAAGTTAAACATTGGCACAGGTTGGAATTACATCAGTGGACCTCCGTAGGCTTCAGGCCTGAAGAATAAAAGGGGAGCTTAAGCACCAGAGGCTGAATAACGCCATGTGCAGCTGACACTGAGCTGGCCCCAAGCCCTGGGGATCATACAAGCCAGAATAATCTCCATCTTCCTCATGCCTGTCTTTCAACAAGCCCTCCTTCCCCATACTGTCTCTCAACTGTTTCTTCTATTGTCTTTCTTATACAAGTTGACAGACAGCTAATAGCTGTAGCTCCTGGACAGGCCCTGCCATGTGCTCAGAGTCTCCATTTTCAGAACCCCGTCCCTTCCAAAGCTGAAAGGGTGCAAGAATTCCATGCCCAGTGGCTTCCCTTGGCCAGTTCTTCATCTTGAAAGAGTAATCAGAACAGAATAATGGCATAAAAAATAAAACGTGTCTGCTCTCTGGTTCCCCTGCAGCTGAAACTGACCTTAACAACCAGGTGAACTTTACTCCCCAGCCTGCACCCTACCAAGCCCTCAGAACCATCACCTTCTGCTGCATCCCCTCTCCTCTCCAGATCTGTCTCTGCCAGTAGATCTGTATTCAGGTCATAGCTCAACACTAAGCTGTGATACTTTGGCTACCTCGGAGGAAAGCTAGCTTTTATAAATCTTGTGGAAGAAGGTTCTACCTCCTTCCTGTCCTCATAAAACAGAGGGACAGAGGCAAACTTACACACTCAGGATTCTATTACCTTCCCATGGGAGCGCTGCCATGACAGAGTAATGATGATCATGGTGCAGGTTTCTTAGATGCTTTGTCTTGCCTCACAGCAGCCAAGCAAGAATGACCTGTCCTCAGTCGGAGACAGGGATGGACAGGCCTGGAGAAGGTTGTAACCATCCCAGATCCGATGGAAACTACAGTTCCTGAAGTCTGTAAGATGGAAACCAGGACTCTCCTTTCAGCAGATCTTCTAGGTTCTGAGGAGAAAGCCCAGGCCCGTACTGTGCACAGCTGTTCCATGGGTTCTAAAGTTCTATCCAAAGTCTCTTGAGGAACTAAGAAATGCCCCCCAGCACTGGGAATGATGCTTGCTCAAGCTCACATTCTACCAACATGAACAACTTCATCCATGGTCCTGTCTCTTTCCTTGGATGGCCTGCTGGAAGCCTGAGCCTTATAGATCATAAAAGCTCATCCCCTCCTCTCAACTCAGGACAGGTCCAAAGGGTCATTCTGGGTTCAGAACTCCCTGTGAGCTGACCAGTGCCTACACTGAGTCCACCTTGAAGCTAGTGCCTTCTTCTGCCCAGTTCTGCTGCCCTCCCTTCCTCTGACTTGGTATTAGCCCAACAGCACTCCCTAGTCAGCCTCCTCAGAGCCTGATTCCCAGGGACCTGACTGAGACAGATGCCTCCAGCAGGTCTCAGAGTCCAGAGTCCTGGGCCTGAGGGCTTGAAGATCCTGTGATGTGGAACCCAAGAGAACCAAGTTCCCCTTGTGCTTGCAGGCTAGACCAGACCTCTCTGAGTGACTCAGTGAAGGAGGAACTGAAGGCTCTAGAGGAAGAGAGACTTGAGCTGCTCATGTCAACACTGTGGTAAGTGTTGGGCCTGGCTGACCCGGAGCCAGGGTTGAGCCTTTGCAGCTGCTCTAGAGCCAAGAGGTAGAGTCATTGGATGGTGGATAAACAGAGGTAAGAAGGAAACAAGAAACTACAGAACTAAAGTAATGTAGGGTATTTGGGATCTTTTGTGAAAAATATCCCCTACATCTAAGGGAGAGTCAACATCTCTCTGTTATAGGAAGACGAGTGAGCTGACCCCTACTGAGAGATCAGATGGAGGAGAGATAGATAACAGCCCCAACTCACTCAAGGAGCAGAGACTAAACTCAGGTATTTGAAGGGACTTGGGGAGGGGCAACTGTGGTAGAGTTTCCTCTTCATCAACTGACCATCATGTGGTCCAGAGAAGATTTCCTACCTGGAAGAGTCCATCTCATGCAAGATCATGTGTTCCAAGGGCCTAGAGAAAAATCTGTCCTCTTTTCCAGCCTCAGGGGCTGGTATTACCTGCCTCCAGCATCTGTATCCTGTGTCAGACCCTGTCCCAGGATCTGATGTTCTATTCTGGGTTTCTGAGGCCTGAGAAGCTCTCTCTATCCATGCCCATCCATCTGTAGAGCCAAGTTTCACTTCCATCCTTCCCACAGCAACATGGTGGGAAGTACAAGACTATACCAGTGGGAAGGAGAGGTAGGCAGAGTGTGGGCCAGTGGGATAGTGGGATAGGTATCATCAAAAGTGGGAAAGTGATCACAGCAGCAGAGACAGAGGCTACAAACACAGTTCTGATTTACCTAGGAAGTCTAGGCTTGAGAAAAGCCCAGCATAGGCCAGCTATGAATTCCTGGGAACACCTAATTGGACAGTCTAGAAATAAAGTGTCCTGCTCTTCCAGAGGAAGATGCCCGACTAGTATCAGAGCTGGTCTCGTATCTTACTGCTGCCTCACAAACCGTCCTGCCCGGGGATTGTCTAGGAACAGAAGATGTCTTCTTGGGTCCCATAGGGCCTGTGAATACTGAGCTGATTGACAGCGAAAGGCACCTGTGCTGGTGAGTGAGAGGCTCTGCTACCGCAAGCTGAAATTTCCCCACAGTCTCCTGACTCCCATTTTCAGACAGCATGCTTTTAATGTGTACTTTGATTGTGTGAAAAATAGGAGTATTATAAAATTTTCAAGCACACACAAAAGCTGAACATGTTAGGAATATCCTTGTTCCTTGATCTAGCTCCAGTGAACATTTTCCAAATTTCTTTCAATCACTTTCTTCCTCTTCTGTTACTACTTCAGTATTTTAAATCCAGATATTAGATAATTTTTTTTGCCACTTGTAGAGCTTGAACTCTGGGCCTGGGCACTGTCCCTCAGCTCTTCAGCTCAAGGCTAGCGCTCTACCACTTGAGACACGGTGCCACTTCTGGCTTTTTCTGCATATGTGGTGCTGAGGAATCGAATCCAGGGCCTCATGCAGGCAAGGCAAGTACTCTACCACTGAGCAACCTTCCAAGCCCATTAAATGATTTTTTTTTAACTTTAAGTATGGCATTATACATCTCAACTAACAAAAAAGGACCTTTTTTCCTAATCCAACATAATTTTCACCTCTTAAAAAACTAGCATTAGGTCTTGGCTGTTATCTAAATCCAGTCTGGTTCACATTTTCTCCTTTGGGAGGTGTATTCTTGCTGATATTTGTTCTAATCAGCTTCTGATAAGGACTGCTCAGTGTATTTGATTGGTTTTTCTCCTCAATCTCATTTCAGTATCCTATAATCCCTATGTTCCAGCTTCATTCATAAGCACTAGTTGTAAAGCACCCTTTTATTAAGAATACCTATGAAGTCATGAGGAACATGGCAACCCTGTCCTCCAAGGTCTCCCAGTCTCATAATTAACAATTTAGCCAGAATCATGTGCTCAATCCAACAGGCTGTCATTCATCATTCACTGCCACAGGCACTGACTCAGCAGGGAAGAACAAGGCACTTCACATCGACTCTGAAGCTATCATCTGACCACCCAACTACACACCAAATGGGGATCCTTGGGAAAAATCATTTTGATCTGTGTTCAGCTACAAAGCCTGCTCATGAGCAATAGCATGTAGGTTTAGTCACTATTGGTAAAATTCCTCTTCAAAACATAAGTATATGCTTTAAAAAATAAGAACACTTTCCTATTTTGTCATGGTCAACATAATAGCATTGACCAGCTGCTCCCAAGCATGTGTTAATCTATTGATTTACATTACATTACTCATCACTCCCAGCTCTGTAAGGTATGGTAACTACCACTTATAGATGAGGAAACTGAGATCAGGGAAGCTAACTGATTTCCTCAGAGAGCAGAGGAGCCAGGACTAAACCTGTGACCTTGGGTGGAATAGGGTTAGCTATTCTGGACTACCCACAGCTGCTTTATTGTGTTTGGCATCCAGAAGGGGCTTAGTGGATTTGTGTAATTTGATGTCTGCCTCTCCCTCTTTACAGTGTTCACTTCCCTGTGGCCGGCTTCTACCACTGTCCCAACATGGGTCTGGGCTTTGTGGTGAGCAGGGCAGTGACCATCACCATTGAGTTCTGTTCCTGGGACACTTGCCTGGACAAGACATGGCTGCAACACACCTGGATGATAGCAGGGCCTCTGTTTGACATCAGGGCTGAGCAAGGAACTGTGGCTGCTGTGCACCTCCCTCACTTTGTGGACCTCCAAGGTAAAGAATGGAAACATAGGAGGAGATTGGTAGAATAAGGGCCCAGAAAAATGATATAACATAGTATAGAGTGTGAGGAAAGAGGATGAGCAACTCAGAGCTTTCTAGCAAGGTGAAGAGGGTATGGAAGTTGGAGACTGTTCTTCATCCCCTATTTCCCTAAATATAATTGGAAGCATATGTCTCCAAGTCATACAGTTATTTCTGCCTAGACTTACCTTGTAGTTTCCCAAATATAAAGCTATGTCATCAATGATAATTAGTTGAAGTTTATTCAGTGCTCTTACATGCACAGTCTCATCAGGAAACATAGCATGCTCTCAGTACCTCCATTTAAAAAGATTTTCTAATACATAGCTGTGTACAAAATAAGACCAAAGGAACTAATCAAAAATATTTAGTACCCAGAGTCAATCATCAATGAGAAGCTATCACCACCTGTCAGGCAGGGAGAAGACATAATGTTGCCAGATTACAATTGAGATCTGGAATCACACAAAAATGGCTCAGAATGGACAATGGTCAAAATAGCCAACCACTATTTTTCCCGTAAGAAATACAAGTTCACAGTTCCAATCCTCACAGAGAAAGTTGGGTACAATGGCTCATATCCACCATGCCAGCACACAAGAGGCTCAAGCAGGAAGATCACAAGTTCCAGCCTGAGATACATATCAAGACAATGTCTGGGGAAAAAAGTAAATATCACAGAAAAACTACAGTGTACCAGAAATGAAACCCAGCAGAAAACTGCATAATACAAATCAACCCATTAAAACTTCAGTCTCTGAAATTATCACAAATAGAACATATATATGTGTCCAAAATACACTTAAAAAGTGGTAAAATATGAACATGAAGCAAGAAATAGTACAAATGATAAAATAGGAACAGATGAGATTGACAGATAACATGTTTAAATATTACATACTTTGGAGGATACCATGATGAAAATAGCTGTATAATTAATTAGAATTCCAGAATAATATGCTTGAGAGAATAGAAATGATGCAATAATAAAAGAGATAATTACCAAGAGAATTTCTGTGATATTACTGTGAAATGTAAGACTTCTCAGGGTGAGAACTTAAAAAAGTGCAAAGAAGAAAAGAAAAAACAAAGGGACAGAAACAAATCAACATTATAGCAAAACTTGCCAATCCCAAATCTTAAGCAAAGGTTACTGCCAACAGAAGGAAAGCTTACCTAGAGAGGTATGTTGACTGACTTCTGAGCAGCAACAGTGGAAGGCAGAGGACAATGGAAAGATGTCTTCATGGCCCTGAGAAATAACTGTCCATCAAGAACTGTGAATTGCAAAACTACAATTATTTTGAGTTCAAAAAGAGCTTTACAAGAAATTAAAAGCAGAGAGATTACCAAAAACAAATACTTCCTGAACAAAAGTCTTAAATTTGTACCTAGAGAAAATGGAACATGAACTCCAAAGTGCAAGGTAGAATAATAAGCAAAGACACTGAATCATGTTTAAGTGAAGCTAATGCTCATTGACTGCATAAAGCAACAGCATCGATTTCTTTAAAAAGAGTATTTAGCAAAGTGCTTCACACATAGTCTCTGTTCTCAAAGAGCTATTTATAAAGAGACATCTTAAAGGAAATGTGTAGGTACTGTTTAGAGAACAAAAAGAGCCTTCTATCATTAAAATATTTATCACATTATTTCTGTATTATAACATCAATTCCTGGGATCATTGGCATTTAAATGCATGTCTAGGTCTTTGCCTATCCCAAAATATGGTAAATGCAGCATATTTTCCAGGAAAAATCAATCAATCTGTGGTAAGGGCTGAGGCCAAACAGTCCATGAATGATAAAATATTGCTATTGTTTATCACACATCCAAACTTGTCTCCAACCGTCCCTTTATCTCAACTTCACCTCTCTGAACTCAAGGTCCTGGCTAGCAGCACATACTTATTCAAGTCTTAGACACTAGCAGCTTCCTAAGAGGGAGCCATGACCTCCACAATGGCGGATGCCATGGTGCTTCCCAATAGAAGAGTTTCAATGGTGGCCAGACATTTGATCAGTGGAGCCTGTCCTTGGTCACTCCATCTTCCCACAGCCCCTCCCACCTACAGTTATCTACTTGCTTAGAGTCAAACCTGTCCCCACCACATACAAGGAGAGTCCACAGCTGCACAGGGAACCACAGGTTCTGTGTCTGTTCAGCTCCAGGGCCTGGGACTGGCTTATCTATGAGTTTGCCTCAAGGCCTAAAGTGTCTGTGATAGTCCCACTCCAGAGACCAGATGGTCCACAGCATCTGAGGCCATTCTTCCTTCTCTACCATAGTCTCTATAGGCTGCTATAAGAAAATAGCATATCCTAGGTAACACTATATTTTTGCCAGTCCTGGGGCTGGGCACTGTCCCTGAGCCTCTCTGTTCTCAAAGCTAGCACTCTACCATTTGAGCCACAGCACCACTTCTGGCTTTTTCTGTTTATGTGGTACTGAGGAATCCAATCCAAGGCTTCATGCATGCTAGGCAAGCACTCTACCACTATGTCCTATTCCCAGCCCTTAGATAACACTATTAATACCATATGGATTTATCAAATTGGTAAAGGCTGAGATCCAAGATGGTGATGTCTGTAGATTCAGTATCTAGTAAGCATACTCCTATGCACAGGTGTTGTCAACCAGCTGCACCTTCACAGGGAATTTCCTTGGAACTCTTTCATGCAGGAATTAGTACCATTCACTAACATGTCCATGTCCTGATCACCCCCCAAAGCTCTTGCCTTACCCTATTACATTGATGGGGAAGTGGGGGAAAGGTTGGGATTTCTACATGGAAATTTTAGGAGGACTCAGTCATTCAGACTATACACTGGGTCCCAGGGAAGATCTCTGATCCTAAACCCTGAGATCTTACTGTCCCCGCCAAGCCTGATGGGACCTGAAGTGCACAACTCTCAAATCTGTTTTCTGACAGGTGAGCATGTGGACATCTCTCAGTTCAACGTGGCCCACTTTAAAGAGGAGGGGATGCTGCTGGAGAAGCCAGCCAGGGTGGAGCCACAATGTGCAGTCCTGGAGAATCCCAGCTTCTCACCAATAGGAGTTCTACTGAGGATGATTCCTGGCGCCCGGCACTTCATCCCCATCATCTGCACCACATTGCTGTACTACTACCTGAGTCCTGATGAAGTCACCTTGCACCTCTACCTGATCCCCTGTGACTGCAGCATTCAGAAGGTGACACTGACGAGCAGGAGGAGTGGGACAGGGTGGGCTCACAGGAAACAGGAAACACAGCAGAAACCTGCAGCTCTCATCTGGGAAGGAGGATGGGATTCTCCCAAGCAGGAATCTCCACAAGGGTGACCAGTCCTGTTCTTTGTTTTTTTTTTTGTTTTTTTTTTTGTTTTTTTTTTAATTTTATTTTATTTTATTTGAGATCATACTGTACAGAGGGGTTACAATTACATGGGCAGGATAATGCATACATTTCTTACCAAGCATTGCAGCCTCCTCCTTTGTTTACCCTTCACCTCCCTTCCCAGCCTCCCCCCTCCCCCCCCACCCAATCATACCCCCCCTCCCCCCCCCCACACCGACATTGTAAAGCTGGCTTTGACATGACATTTTGTACTTCTCATTGTTGCAACAGGTCCACCTGAATCCTTAAACGACTTGTTTGTCCCCATCTCCTCCACATGTTATACTGACATCAAATATAGTGAAAGCAGGGGTTACACTGTGGGGGAGGGACATACAAAGCAACAAAGAAATAATCTTATAAATGCGTTAGAAACACATGCATGAAAGAAACAAAAACATTAAAATACATATTTGAGGGCTCGTTTTCCTAACATCACATTCTCTGACTTTTTCCGCTTGACTCATACCTATACTAGATATTGCAAATAAGGGAAACCATGGGACCTATGTTTCTTTGGGCCTGGCTTACTTCACTTACTATAATTTTCAGTCCTGTTCTTTGATTAGCCATGGTCTTTGTCTCTCACACAGGGTTTTCCCAGCTGTGTTCCCTGCTCCATCATTGATATCTCAGTTACTTGTTGTGGCATCTTTCCAGGAGCAAAATGAACAAGAAAGCTCCATGCCCCAGATTGTATCTTTTCCATCCTCTTCCTCCTTCTCTGTCAGTGACCCTATTACCATCTATCATGGCAGAGGCCAAGGGTGGTCTCTCCAATTGCCAAATTATGGAAGAATGGGAATGAGGGTACAGAGATGTGATAGCCATTCTTTACCCACATGAATGTACTAATGCACTGATGTGCTTGCTCTCTGTCTCCTCCTTCAAACTAGAAGCTGTGGGGCAGAAATCTCCCTAAATCATTATTCTGTACACTTCTTAGGCCATAGATGAAGAAGAAGAAAAGTTTCAATTTGTAAGAATACACAAGCCACCCCCACTGGATGCCCTGTACCTGGGTTCTCGCTATGTTGTATCTGGATCTGGGAAGATGGATATCATCCCCCAGGTGAGCAGCCAGGCATCTGTCCCTTGCTAGGATCATGGTGTGCCTGGAAAAAGTTGTGGGAAAACCTCAGGCCTTCCCAGGGCCTGTTGGGAGGAAATGAGGTAGGACAAAAAGTAAAGAGGGTGTTGAGTTGAATAGGAGGAAAATGGTTCACAGGAAAATTAACCACCTTCATGATTTGGAAGAAGAATTTGCTTGGGGCACTGGCAGTGTCTGGGCTAGCAGTTGGTAATGCCTGCCAATCAGAATGCACTGTGAGCACACCTGTAGTTGAATCCACCTGGTATATTATTTGTTACAGAAGAGGAAACATGCACAGGGAATTGGAGCTTCTCAGTTAAACAATGTTTTTTAAAAGTAGTAATTGTAGGATTTTGACTTTTATTGGGTGAGTTTAAGTCTAAGGAAAGAGATGAACTCTAGGTTGTGCATTTTCAGAAAGTAGGACAACTCCGTATTAGAAAATATCAACAATTTTTATCTCTAAGAAAATTACAAAGACACAAACAGAAAGTTGTAAATGTGGCAACAGTCACTACATACATCGCAATTTGAGGGTGAACTATCCATATCTTATGCCTGTCTCCTAACGCATGTGGAGTGGCTGTATGTCCATCCTTCAGTACAGGCTGAGCTGCAGGTTCAAATCAGTCTTTACTGGCACTGAAGTGCAGTTGTGTGGCTTGCATTAATTCCTTTTTGCTTACTCTTGTCCGTATCTCTCACATACATACTCTTTGACCAAAGGCTGATTAGAGTGGACCACTAGGTTTGAATCTAAGATTTCTCCATTTTCAGCCCTGTCTGGGTTTGCTGTTCAGAATCAGAGAAGCATCATGGTACAGTGTATAGATGAATCAGGGCCAGATGAGTGTGACATGACAGAAGCTGAGCAGCAGCATCTGAGACTCAAGACAGGATGCTTCACAAAACTATATCACAGGCAATGGGCAAACCAACAGGGCTGCTAGTCTTGTAACTCACAAGAAGTCTCAAAACCAAGGACCCAGATCATAAAACTCTATCAATAAAAACATATCCCAAATCAACTGGGTCCATTAAAGAAAACAATGCCACCATTTTTTTCAGACCAGTCATAATCTATCCGATTTGCAACAAATGTAAGTACAGCAAGTATTGACTCTAGTGAAAATCTTCCCAAGAATAGCTGTTAGAGTTTTTCCTTAGGGTAGGATGGAGGATGACAGACCTGATGGTCAGCTAGCTTCAGAGCAGCAGCTATAGTCTGGAAACAATGACAAGTGAATTTTGTTCTTCTTGAAATCACAAAAAGAAGCATACTACTTGTTTTTATGTTTTGTTTTATTTTTTGTTGTTGTTTTATGATGGTGCTGATCCTGGGGCTTGAAATCAGGGTCTGTGTGCTGTCCCTAAGCAATTTTTGCTCAAAGCTAGCATTCTACCACTTGAGACACAGCTCTACTTCCAATTTTTTGGTGGTTAATTGGAGATAAGTCTCTCATATACTTTTTTTGCTTCCTTTAAACCATTATTCTCAGATCTCAGCCTCCTGAATCACTAGGATTAAAGGGATGAGCCACTTGTGCCCTGCCCATATACACATTCTTTTGGGGGGGAGGGTCCGGTCATGAGACTGAACTCTGGGCCTGGGCGCTGTCCCTCAGCTCTTCAGCTCAAGGCCAGCAATCTACCACTTGAGCCACAGCGCCACTTCCCGCTTTTTTTTCTTTTTGCTTATGTGGTGCTGAGGAATCAAACCCAGGGCCTCAGGCATGCAAGGCAAGCGCTCTACCACTGAGCCACCTTCCCAGCCCCCCCATATACACATTTTTAAGGGCGAAAAAGATACATAAAAAGCCTCTTCCTCGGTGCTGTGTATGGAGGTGGATGCCCTCTCCTCCTGCTGGAGACATCATGGCCGCCCTCAGACCTCTGGTGAAGCCCAAGATCATCACAAAGAGAACCAAGAAGTTCATCTACCAGTAAAAGATTAAGCGTAACTGGTAGAAACCCAGGGGCATTGACAACAGGTTGTGGAGGAGATTCAAGGGCCACATCTTGATGCCTAATATTGGTTATGGTAGTAACAAGGAAACAAATCACATGCTGCCCAGTGGATACCGGAAGTTCCTGGTCCACAACTTCAAGGAGCTGGAAGTGCTGCTCATGTGCAATGAGTCTTAGTGCACTGAGATTGCCCAAGAACCAAAAAGCCATCATGGAAAGAGCAGCCCAGCTGGCCATCAGAGCCACCAATCCCAATGCCAGGCTGCTCAGTGAAGAAAATTAATAGATAGCTCACATACACCTTTATTTGTGCTTAAATAAACCACAGAAAATGCAAAAAGATAAATAAAAGGCAAAGGTCAGGAGTAGAATAAAAGATAAGGAAGGATGTTGAAGTATCAGAAAACCAATCTTACCCAACATATCAGGCAGAAGCTGTCCACTTCCAAAGGCTGCAGCCTCTGAGGGATATGAGTTCATGTATCTATGTGTTATGTTCCCTGATGAAGCACAGTAGCACCTAATGATGTGAAGTAGAACATGGAGGCAATGAATTGAGTAACACAGTCAGGGTGGTAAGGGAATGCACATTTGAGATATCACTTCAAATTGAGACTGAAATGATTTTTTTTAAAAACCCCACTTGGGGCTGGGAAGTTGGCTCAGTGGTAGAACGCTTGCCTTGCATGCCTGAGGCCCTGGGTTCGATTCCTCAGCACCACATAAGCAAAAAGAAGTGGCTCTGTGGCTCAAGTGGTAGGGCGCTAGCCTTGAGCTGAAGAGCTGAGGGACAGCACTCAGGCCCAGAGTTCAGGCCCCACTACCGGACCAAAAAAAAAACCCCACTTGTCCATTAAGTCATTTATAGTGGAGCCTCTCAGAATGAAAAGATGTATTCAAAAGCACAAGTAGCAGAGCAAGTTTGAACTTACCAGTAATAAAGAAATGAAAGGTGTGCTAGTGTGGAAGAGAGTAGTACATGCATGAAAGATGGAGTCCAAAAGAAGAGTTCACGGGGCTCATTGGTCCAATTGGCCCTTGTGTGCAATTTGTATTTTGTACTAAATGCAATGTTAAGTCCTTAACAAGGTAGTAAACATGCTCAAACAAGATTTTCTTTATTTTTTAAAAAAAATTTTTATTGCCAAGGTGATGTACAGAGGGGTTACAGTTTCATAAGTAAGGTAGTGATTACATATTTTGCCTAATGGTAACCCCTCATTTTTCTCCCTCTTTTCCTTCCCCCCAACCCCCACAAGGTATATAGGCCATTTGCAATTTATTGTCTTGTGAGTAATACTGTTCCCCTTTATCCTTTTTCCCACAATTTTGCTGTTTCCCTTCCCTTCCCTTCCCTAGTTCATCTGAACATATATACAAGACGCAGGGTACCAAATTCAAACACAAGGGCTGGGAAGGTGGCTCAGTAGTAGTGTACTTGCCTTGCATGCATGAGGCCCTGGGTTTGATTCCTCAGCACCACATAAGCAAAAAGAAAAAAAGCCGGAAGTGGAGCTGCAGCTCAAGTGGTAGAGTGCTAGCCTTGAGCTGAAGGGCTGAGGAACAGTGCCCAGGCCCAGAGTTCAGGCCCCACAATCTGACCAAAAAAAAAACAAACAAATTCAAACATAGTACTTTCTTTTTTTTTTTTTTGGTCGGTTGTGGGGCTTGAACTCTGGGCCTGGGCACTGTCCCTCAGCTCTTCAGCTCAAGGCGAGCGCACTACCACTTGAGCTACAGCGCCACTTCCTCAAACATAGTACTTTCTTAATGATGCACCAAGCTACACAAGCATGGTGGTACATGTTTATAATCTCAGCACTTGGAGGCTGAGGCCAGCCTTAGCAACATAACAGAATCCAGTGCCAGAAAAACAAAGATGCCTTGAGTGTCTGGAGTCTGGTTGATGAATAGACAGTTGTAGAAGTAGAGGAAAATTCAAAACACCATTGTGATATCACAGATGAAAACTGATGGTGGGTTGCCTGGACAGCAAAGACAAGCAGGAAAGTTGGTAGATTTAGGGGAATTGCAACACAAGGAATTACCCAAACCCTAAAGGATGATCAGTCTTTGCAACAGGTGTCTAAATTAATTATGGAGATAGAGGCAATAGCACAGGGCAAATTAACTGCCATTACGAGAAAAAGGAAGATGTCCAGGATGATGCTAAGACTTGAAAGTTGAATGCAAAGGAGATGCCTGTGCTATTATTGAGTTTGAGGAAACTGGGAAGGAGTATTTTTTAGAGTTGTTGGAAAGCACGAGATTTGCTTTCACTGTAACTTAGGAAAGATAATGAATGTAAATTTTTGGTTTACTGTAAACTAGTTGAGGATAGGATACATTAGGAGTGAGGGTTTGAGGTGGAGACAAGACAACATGGATTCAGTGGGAAGTTGGAAGAATTGGGCTCCTGCAACATGGTAGAGAAGGTTCTGCCTTAGGATATGTGAGCATATGATTCAACATGATCCCTGATTGGACAATGTGGTGCCCAGCTGTGTCCTCATCCTTCTGATTCAGAACATGTGGTCTGAAGATGGCTCCTGACTGCAGTGTTTGTGAGGTTGATCAGCACCAAGAAGGTGGCAAAGGAGAAAGAACCTGGTAGGATGAGTACTGGCTTCTCACATGGTGATTCTTTCACTTTTCAGGAACTGGAGCTGTGCTATCGGAGCCCTGGAGTATCCCAGCTCTTCTCTGAGATCTCTGTTAGTGAGCTGGACTCAGCAATCAGGCTGAAAATGGAAGAGAAGAAAAATAGGACTCTAATATGGGAGACCTTGCTGAAACCAGGTAAACCTGGAACAAGTCCATAGAGTTCAGGGTTGGAAGACACAGAGTCAGTGCGTGGGAGGGACAGGGGTGTGATGTGTATTACCATATTTAGCTGATGAGAAGACAGAACTCACTAATGCTAAAGAAAGAACCTACTAATACTAAAAAGAACAGGGACCATGGCCTCCCTTATGTCACTCCATATGTCAAGCATCTTTACTTCTTCCTGTATTTTTTCATTTTTAATTCTTTATTTTAATTTTTTATTATTATCTTTAGATATACAAAGCACTTCCCATTCTACAAAACAGTGTATGAATACAAGGTGTCTGACAACATTGTCACCCATCGCTCCTAACCCATCCCTTCTCTCACGTTTTTCTTAATTGAGATTGGGTGATTCCATAGCCACCCAATCACCTATCACATTCTATGCTGTATTTTACATAGAAATCAAAGTGGACCAAGTGTGATAGGAAGGCCCCCTCCTCCCTGCATCATGACGATCCTGGGCTCCTATCACAGTTTAGGATCCTTGTGCCCACTTCCTTGTACTGTTAGGTCATGCTGAATTTAGGGGGTGTTCAAACTCTCAGGGCTTGTTCACAGGGAAACCCTGATCTCCATCATCCTCTCCTCTTAGTATTTGTTGTTACTGTTGCTTTTTTAATTTTTTACTTTTTATTTAATTCCTTTTGTTAGTCCTGTTTGCTATGGTACTCTTTTTCTTGACTCTGAAATCAAATTGTAGACACACATATTAGGCATGTGAATATAGAAGATGAAACAAGGACAAGGAAGTAGCTTTCTGCTAAGAATAAGGGGTCAAATAGTTTACACTGGCTAGCAAGAAAACTAATGTGTTCCCTACCTGTTCATTCTAAAATAAGATAAAATCAAGTGGATTTTAGAGATGATGTAGGAAATATTTTGGGGGGGTCCGGTCGTGGGGCCTGAACTCTGGGCCTGGGCGCTGTCCCTCAGCTCTTCAGCTCAAGGCTAGCGCTCTACCACTTGAGCCACAGCGCCACTCCCGGCTTTTTTTTTTTTTTGCTTATGTGGTACTGAGGAATCGAACCTAGGGCCTAAGGCAAGCAAGGCAAGTGCTCTACCACTGAGCTACCTTCCCAGCCCAATGTAGGAAATATTTCTATTGCTCAATCAGCTATCTTCTCTCTTTGTTAGTTTATGATGAAAGTCTTTGGTGTTCAGGTTGCCACTTCCACATGGAAGCAATCTGCCTACATGTCTTAAGGTTCTTCCAGCCCTTACAATTCTATCAGAATTGGTCTGAAGCTTGCATCTCAGAGGTGGGAGTTTCAAGGTGTATCATGTGTCTGTAACTAACAAATCTATACAAGTTTCTTCATCTCTCTTTTCTTACAGGAGATCTCAGATCACCAACTACTCTAGTACCTCCAGCCCCCAAAGGTCAGTAACAGATCTCAGAGGACACAGAAGTCCATAGTTTTGCCAGGTGCAGCATAAAGTCCTAGAAGGGAGAGAAGAGGGCAGAAAGGGGCTCCACTTATCACCAGCCTTCCAGGGATGGGCTGGAGAGGTACATGCTGGGGGTGGGCAGAGTTCTACCCCATTGCTATTGCTTCTGTCCACAAAGGTCCTAGCATTCCCCACTCACAACCTCAATTCCCCATCATGAACCCCTCCTTCCTCCTGATGAGGCAGAATGCCAGGCTGGGTGCTGGCATGAGGGAAGTGGGAAGTACAAGTAGATAATGGGGGAGAGTTTCTTTGCTTATTCCCAGCTTCACTTTGTCCTCAGGTAGCCTGGCCTTGACACACTTTGTGGACAGGCATCGGAAGCAGCTTGTGGACCGAGTGACATCCGTGGACTCAGTCTTGGACCTGCTGCATGGACAGATACTGAGTGAGGAGCAGTATGAGAAGGTACGGGCTGAGGACACCAGCCCAGCCCAGATGCGGAAGCTGTTCAGTTTCAGCCGGTCCTGGAATTGGACCTGCAAAGACCAATTGTACCAAGCCCTGAATGAGACCCATCCTCACCTGATCAGGGAACTCTTGGAGAAGAGTTGAGACTTAGCATCTGAAATCTCAGCACTTATATTTGAGTGCTGGTTCTTCCTGGCCTTGCTTGGGGCCTCAGTTTCTCCATCCATAGACAATTTGCCGAGTTTCCTTCCAGCTCTAGAGTTATGGATGAACCTCTGCTGGGTGTTGCATGTCCAGGGCCAGGGCTACTACACAGATGGCCTCCCTAGCTCTCACAGGCCAAGAAGTAACAGCAGGTACAGGTGAGCCAACAGCATCTCAAGGATGTCCAGGAGATGGCAAGATTCCTCGCAAGGCTTCTTACAAGTGTATCACCATGTTTGTTCTTTGAGTATTTCAACCTAAAATATTTAGTCAATGCCTAGAACTCGTGAAGGGCACCACTTGGATTCCAGTGAAAGGAAAAACATGCAGCTGCAGTTTGCTGATGCACAGAGCATCTGGCTCTCTGTGTTTCTCAATCAGAACAAGGAAAGAAGTGGGGGATGTGAGCCTTTCCTGCTGTCCATGCTGGACTTGGCTTTTCTATTGGTTCAGTTGTGTATTTGGAATTTGGAATTGATTCTCAGAGTCAGAAGAAGGATGGAGAAGAAGGCTGCTTGGGGATGGAATCTTAGTCTTAGTTGAGAGTTCTCCTCCTTTGGAAAGTGGTTCCATGTCCTCCATTAGGCTTAGGTAGCAGCACCCCATGCTGTTTTATCATCCTATGTCACTCTTGCCTGATCCCAGGACTCAACATGTGATATTATTCCTGCAGATTCACTGCTTGTCTCCTCCACACTACATAGTGGCATTTAAGGAAAGGAGCCATGAATGTCCTGCTACCACTTCCTTTTTGTTCCTCCAACAGTACCTGTAACATGGTGGGTGTTAACTGAAACTTTGTTAATATGATGCCAGGTGCTGGTGGCTCATATCTGTAATCCTAGCTACTCAGAAGGCTAGGGTCTGAGGATTGCAGTTCAAAGCCAGCACAGGCAGGAGAAAGTCTGTGAGACTCTTATCTCCAATAAACTACCAAAAAACCAGAAGTTGAGTTCTGCATCAAGTGATAGAGCACTAGCCTTGAGCAAAAGAATCTCAGGAATAGCACCAGGGTTGTTACAATGTTTGGATGTTCCCACTCTCGCTCTGACATGTTAAGTGTTGGTCCTTTTTTACTAAATGTGGGTCTTTGGAACATATATGTCTGATTTGGTCAAAACTGACCAAGGCTTAATGCGTCAGAGCCCAAGTGGAAACATCAAAACATTGTAACATCAAAGAGTCGTGCACCTCTTTCTCAGAATAAGGGAGTATTTCCAATCTAAAAGAATGTTAAAGCTAAGCCACTCCCTAACTTTAGAGTTTAACCCCTGCTGCTAGCAGGCTCATTGCATTCTGCTCAGTGCTAGCACTTCGCCTAGGAAATGTGTCTTTGCTTTCTCCTGCACTTGCTGAATACAGCTTTGCTAGGGCCTTACCATATCTATTGCATTTCTGGGCCTGAAATTCTTTCCTGTGTCACTGACCAGGGCAAAATGGCACAAGTATCCAGGGATAGGCTAGTAGTTGGGTACTAATTGACTGTCATCCATCTTTGGTGACACAACCATGATTCCAATGAATCATGAAATTACAAAAGACTCAATCATGTTACAGATTCAATTAATTATTGTCTTCAACTCATGAGAGCAAAGCCTAACACACACATACCAATCCCATCCAGGATTCAAAAGCAAAAGTTGACTTTCCCTCCCTCTCCACTTAGTCACTGCCCTGGAGCCCCCATTGACTGACCTCCCTTCCACTGCACATGACAGACAGATAAACCTGGAAAGGAAATCAAAAGAAAGCCCAGTGCTCCATCTGTGGCATGGTTACTCGTGCCTGCTTCTGCCAATTTACAGTGAGGCATTCATACACAGAGACACCAAAGAAGGACATTTTTAGGAGAGGAACAGAAAGGCTTAATGCTTATGTGCCATCTGATCATACAAAATAATTTTTATCAAAATAAACTCCAGGAAACAAAAACAAGAGCATGTTTTCCCTTTTGCTGTTTTCTTTCCATTTTGTTCTGTTTTTTTTTTCCTTTATCTGCTTTTTGGGGGGAACAGAGGCACAACAGGTGAATAAATGCAGCAGTGATACTTACTGTACATATGTTGAAAATGAACTATACTACTTGTGACTGGGATGGGAGGGAAAACTGAGAAACAGCAGGGAAAGGGGCAGCATTGCCCAAAAAGAAATGGACTCTATCTGACCTATGCAACTGCAACCCCTCTGTACATCACCTTTATAATAACAATAAAAAATTTTAAAAGAGAAGACAAGCAAAGTGAAAAGATTGGTAAAATACGTAGTTGGGCCAGAAAATAAGCAAAGGTAATGTTGGGCCAACGAAAATGTGGCTACTGAAGATACTGATACCACTAAAAAGACAGCCCTGAAGCCATCCCAGGAAGTGGCCAGGCTTCACCCATGGTAGCCTTAAGGATATACACCCATTTGAGACTTCCCCCAGAGAACAGAACACTGCTAGGCATCTGTGACCCCAGGCTGCTCCACATTCAACTGTTCAGACATTCAGAAGCCGCAGCAGCTGTAATCTGATGACTGACAACAGCCCCTGCTGGTGGTGAACCTTGGTATTGCATATGTGAGGCTGATTTTGCAGGCATGTAAGGTAAGAAGGTCATGAATGAATCTATCAAGATTTCACAAGAAACCCTGGGAGACCAGGCAGTATGTACTAGGGTCAAAATCCCCATAGGGAGCCAGGTGCTAGTGACTCAGGCCTGTAATTCTAGATAGCTACACATCAGGCTGAGATCTGAGAATTACAGTTCCAAGATGGTAAAGTCCCTGAGACTCTTATCTCTAATTAACCACCAAAAGGCCAGAAGTAGAGCTGTGGCTCAAATAGTAGAGCACTAGTCTTGTGTGAAAAAAAAATTCAGTAACACTGCCCAGGCCCTGAGTTCAAACCCCAGGACTGGTGCACATGTACACACACACACAGACACACACACATACACACACACACACACACACACACACACACACACAAATCCCTGCAAGGAATCTCTGAGAAGATAATGCATGAAGCTGTGAACATGATGTAAAAGATGCAATCAGGGAGACAAAAACTGATGAATCCAGGAAATGTGGAACTTCTGATGAGAAAGCCAGAGGCAGCAAGAAGAGAGACCCTAGCAGAGCTGCTCTGTGGCCACAGCCAACAAGACCATGTAGGGTCAGGGCTGCCCAAGCCTATTGTGTCTCACTTCATGCCCCAGTTGCAAGACATGTAGCTAGAAAACTGGATGTTTATCCTGCTGGGTCTCAGCCTTGCTGTGGTCTCATAATGCCTTTCTACCTTTGAATTCTTCATTTTGGAATGTAAGTGTGTAGTCTATATCACCTTGGGCAGGAACTCTTGGGCAGGGAGGAGCTCAGGTCTCAGTGGACCAAAGGTGGGGATAATACAAACAGTGGGGGGAGGGGATGTACATGTGCTCACATGCACATGCATATGAACTTCCTGCAAGGTATAGGTTTCCACTGTGATTCCAGAGCAACGGTTCCTCAAAGAAGGGCCACATGAGGGCTACAGGCCAACCCCTAAACAACCTGTTCCAGACAAAGCAATGATATAGTGGGTGGAGCAAGTAAATCTTCCCACGTGGCCAAACATATGAATGCACAAAATACTATTCTGCCAAGGACCCCAGAGAAAACTGCACCTTAGTCTGGTCATAGAAATCATCAGGCATCGATTATTCTTTGCTCCTAGGAGAACAGACAACAAAGAACAGACAGTGTCAGAGACTAATATCAAGACACAGGCTAGAGAATGACCCACAAAATCATGAGGTCAAAGAATAATGAATGTCCCCAAGCGTCAACCATGGTGTTTCATTACCTAACCTATTTTGACCCTCTTTCTTCCCTCCCTCCTTCTCATGACTGTCACTTGGAGGCCTCTTGAAGATAAACGCTTGGGAGTCCAGGACACATTCACAGAAGTAGAATGTATGGCTGGGTTCTATTCTAGAGGTCAAGAGGTTGGCTTTGTTTCCAGTGCATTTGGCTGCACTACATCTAAGATGGGGAGCTGCACTGAATACAACAAAAGGACCACAAAGAACAGGAATATAGCAGGGAAGGATAGATTAGCAAAGAAGTACTCCCCCCCACCCAATCATACCCCCCCTCACCCCCCCACACCGACATTGTAAAGCTGGTTTTGACATGACATTTTGTACTTCTCATTGTTGCAACAGGTCCACCTGAATCCTTAAACGACTTGTTTGTCCCCATCTCCTCCACATGTTATACTGACATCAAATATAGTGAAAGCGGGGGTTACACTGTGGGGGAGGGACATACAAAGCAACAAAGAAATAATCTTATAAATGCATTAGAAACACATGCATGAAAGAATCGAAAACATTAAAATACATATTGAAGGGTTCGTTTTCCTAACATCACATTCTCTGACCTTTTCCGCTTGACTCACACCTATACTAGATATTGCAAATAAGGGAAACCATGGGACCTATGTTTCTTTGGGCCTGTTAGCCAGAAAACTCTTAATTACAGTATTAATGATGTACTTTCAATCAGATATAAATCCAGTCACGAGAAAATAGAAAAGCCACATTTTGACAAGTCAAATTTTGGAGTCTCTAGTGGTCTGCATGCGGCCAGTTGTCACAAAGACATTCAGCCCTGAACAGGGCTTGCACCAAGCTTTTAAAGACACAGCCACATGTCTGGGTGGAGACCAAATCTCAGCAAAGCAATATACATAAGCACAGCACAAGGAGCACGGCTCCCCTCAGGGTAATCAAGATGATGTATCTACACATTCCCCAAAGCAGGGCCCTCCTAGCTCTACCCATTGGGTCAGGCATCTGTAATTTAAAGGATGACTTGTCTCACCTCTCAGCCTTGAGGCTGAGTAGATAGCACCTGGCTGGCGCCAGGATGACTGTGACATTACTTAGACTCAGTTTCCTCACTTTACTAGCATATCAGATTACCTTGAACAAGTTTACACACACACACATACACATGTACACAACACAAACATACATACAAGTACACACAACTTTTGAGGCACGCTTAGATTTTAAAAATTAAAATAGGCCATGTAACTTTTCTGGAATTCCACTGGCTAAGTGATATTAATTTGCCCAATAACCATGTGGTCAGTGTTAGAAAAAATTTAAAAACAAATGCTTGTTTGTGAAGTAAGAATTGTCCTAAATGCTTGCTTCAAAATGGAGAAATGAGTAAATTAAATTAAGACTACTAAAGGATCAACTTAGTAACAATGGTTTCAATCTTAACTAGTATCCTAAAGTGTTATATTCCATTAAAAATGAACTAGATTGTTTAATCAGTCTCTGTTTCAAAACTCATCATGATTACTCTTGAGTTTTGCTGTTACAGATTTGATCATCTGTAGCAATTACAGTCAGACCCACAGATGGAAAGATGACTCTTACAAGTTTGTCATTTTTAACTTTGATTCTTATAAAGTCCTGCTTAAAAACTATTTCTACTGATTGTTGATTCAATTGGAAATAAAGGGGGCTATTGGCAAAGACTCATTTGACCTGTCAGTCACCGCCCCTCCCCCCCCCCCCCACCCCGTCAATGTGTTATTTGGCCAACTGGGACATATCATCCCAACAATGAGCAAAATATCTACTGGGACATTATCCCATCAAGTTAAAGATACCCATGGAGATGAAGTTTGTCCTGGAAATGAGGGATCTTGGAGGCAGTTGGATAAGTGGGGATGGTGTCAGATCCTGAATGGAGTCACTTTGTGCTTGCCCTTTCAGAACTAAAATCTGGGAGGTCATCAGAAAATAGTTCATATGCATGCCCATACCTGTATACTTTGTAATTGGGCAGGAACTTACTTATAGCCTTGCCTATCAGTCACTTGTTATAATGGGTGA